ATGAAGGAGGGTCGATGGAAGAGCGAGGATCGGAATGCTTAACTAAGCCTGCACACGTCTACTATAGCTGAGATGAGTCAGTTAACCAAGTAGATCTTTCTGATGGCCTTCATCAGACCGACGAAGGTGCCTGATGCCTGCAGAAATGCATGTAGCAGAGATGGGATCTCTGAAAGTGGCATTTGGCGGGACCTACTCGATGATAAGGCACGATCGTCTAAACCACTTCATATTGCTGTCGTGTCGCAATAGTAACAGTTGTTAGGTGGCATAGCGCCACTGCCACCTGGGATGTGTGGGCCCAAGGAGGTGTGTTATATTGGAAACAAATTGTCAAGCTAGTCTACTTATTAAATTTCAGTAGCATTCGGTGAAAGTTTACACTAACCCCTGATTTACAGTGCGAAGGTTACCCCTTTTCCCTCACTTGCAAACTTTGCAGGTCAAATTAACCAAAAGGATGCCTAATGCACGTATGGGATATGCAATGCACAGCCTCTCTCTCTCTCGATGACAATTTTATTTTCTAACCTTTCCATTTCTTCCTACTAGTTTCATAAAGGAAGGCGCGCCGCAAACTGCACAGAATCTTGACCGCATTGCTGCATTTCACTGCAGAACTCGTTTCTGATACACTGGTAATCACTTCTGTGAGTGCAAACATTAGCTTTATGCTGATGTAGAAGGTAAATTTGCAGTACCGGCACAAATCTAGCTGTAATACTCGACCGACGGCTGAATGGCCTTCCTCCGCCTTCCGTGCAATCGGTGTGGGGAATTTCGCAGCTTTTTTCACCCCGTGAGTTGGCATTACCTGCTGTGAAATTCAAGGGGTCTCTATTGCGACAAGGTAAATCCCACATAAAGTTGAATGCGTTTCTGCAAATGAATCATCGTCCAAATACCATTCTTATTCTTTATTCCGTTTTCCGATTGTAGAAACAGCTAACATTACCGTAAAAGAGGTAACTTTGCAGAAAAGGCTGGATATTTTTGAGGATTTGGAATTTGAGTCTCCTCTTTTCACCACACTATTCGTGCCATCCTGCAGTTTATCACCACCCGCAGAAGGTGTCAATTTCAAAGGCTTAATGCCACAATGCGTTTGATGCCAGATGAGGTTGATGTGCGGACGTCGTTTCCATTCTCGCGTTTTGTCAAAGGCCAGGAGTCCCATGAAATCAGTTTTGCAATTGGTGGAGCAGATAGCCAAGGAGGGGTGAATCAAATTCTTTAATTTTATTTGTTCTTATGCCCGTGATTATTCCAGAATACTCGCGCAAACTGGAATTTAACGGGCATAATCTCCAATGAATAGGATGTAAATGGTGCCCAATTATTTTAAATAGACTCGGTTTGGTGTGAACGGACGGAGGGCCTGTATATGGAGCGGACTTAAACTCGTGCCGAATTTGAGCGTCCTTTGCAGCAAGCAAAACACAATCCAAATTAAGAGAGAGTTTTACGTATTTGTGGCTTTGATAAGAGTGCTGTACAGCCTACTCAGATGGGCAGTAAAAGTTAACGAGCCCATTTTCAAATACATTGGCAACCGACACTTTACCGTTTCTTTAAGACCTTATTCCCATTTGCGATGCTTTGAGGCGCCTTTGCTGAGTCAAAGCTTCTATTTAATTTTGCAGATGACTTGGAGGCAAACAAAGCGTGAACTTTGCGGGTTTTCCGCGCAAAGAAAGTGTCAACTTGGCTTGGGGTCACTTTAAGTCATTTTTGACAGTGACAGTGGATTACACCCAAAATGGTGAGTAGGGGGATTACGCATTTGCAATTATGCCATTTGCAATCAGAAATGCAAATTAGGTCTTCTCTCTTGACCGAGTTATGTTGAGGGCTAACAACACTGTCTGGTGATCTTGTATGCACCAAATCAAGTAAGAAACAGTCGAAATCTTTTGTTTGTATTCACTAAGAATTGTAACCTCGGCTTTAGGAGCATCTATGGAAGTGGCGGCGTGCAATAGTAAGTGTTAACACAACGCAACTTCTTCCAAACAGTCTCTCTTGCCGCCAGGGGCTTTTAATTGCCTCAAAAGCATTTCACGCCAACTATTTGAGTTGATTTTGTGAATATTATTTTTTGGTCTAGAATACTGGCAAGCACAGAGTACGTTGCCCTCATTTGGTGAAATTTACACTCTTGAAATAAATGTCCATCATGGCTTAATTTGATGGCCATAAGTTCAGTCCCAAGCAAACATTTTAAGCAGCTTTGCCGTGATGCTGTACATTTAATTACCGCCTTGGAGAGGGCAGCTTGCCCATCATTTAAGTGTGGTGTTTTTTCCCCACTTTTCACTACCAGGAACGACATCGTCGGGTGAGTGCACACTCCACTAAATGTATCGCCGCGTGTGTGAGTAAATGAGGAGGATGCAAGTGTTGCCGTGTCAGATTTGATCTTGCCTTAAGTGTTTTGCCCATTTCAAAAGCCATTTTTTTGTAAATAGTAAGAGCACCGCGCAGTAAGTTGATGAAATGATTATAAACTGGGCGTGTGAAGGGTTAGATGTGGACATCCAAACTGTGATTGTTTTCTTCTGTTGCCTTATTTGACGTACGTTTATCACACAGGACCTGCGCTGGTGCACACCACCACGGGTGAGTTAAAAGTGGCGCAGTCAATGGCCTGAAATTGCAAATTTCAAGCAGTTGGAAGGTCTGTGTTGAAGTGTTAAATTGTCTGTTTCAGTGGTGCTGGCGCCAGCGTTGGTGGTGCCATTGTTGAGGATGATGTAGGAGCCTGGTGGACAAGTGAAGTGCATCATTTGCGACTACATGGAACCCAATTCCCCCCTTTCCCCTAGCATACTTGTTAACTTTCATTTACCAGTAAATTTCCATCCCTTGTTTGGTTTGTCATGCTTCTGTGCGCACTCTCTGTGCTGCTAAATAAATGCGCTCATTACATTCACTTGACATTCTCAATTTCTTTAATTTTATTTCATTTTGACAATTTCATAATGTAAATTAGCTTATCATGTATGAGGAGGAGTTACTTTCACGAGCGACTTCTGCCATTGTTGAGAGACCGCGTGTTTTTCCCAGTTCTCTCGCCACCTTTACTTAAGCACAGCGCAGCAACGTTTGATTGTTGAAGCGACGCAGAGGACAGTTGACAATTCGTGTTTTGAGGAGCTGTGCCGTCATTTGAAGTCACTTGTGACAAGAGTGGTAGGTGGGTAGGCGAATTCAAAGGAATGCCGGTGTTTCCTAACAATGGATGTTGACATTTGCCATGTATGCAGTAAATTATTTCGTGGAACGAGTACAATCCTGTCAGGGTGTACCGCTATTCCCTCGAATTTGCTCCTGTTCCCTCCCTGTCATTGGTGACGTTGAGGTAAAATTTGATGGTCCCCACACAATGTGATCTGTCGAATGCAGGAGTGTTTAAAAGAAAAAAGGCCGAAATGTTGCATTTGAGCGTGCACAGCTGAGGTTTGCATCCCATGCCCCATACTGGCTAGGGGTTCCAACTTCACCACACGTGGCCGACTTCATTTGCCTCGCAACCCTCACAGCGTTTGGTCTCGACATCCGCAATTCATGCGACGTCAATGGCCCTTCAGTCCTGGGCCATCACATATGGTGAGGAGCTGCAGCGACTTGTTTACTGCAAGGGGAAGTTGTGTCGCCACTCCATTTCTACGCAAGTATCATAACAGCTTCCCACACTTCCCAATTGTCAAGACAAGACAAATTCTGGTGGTCGTTAAGCCTCCATTCCGCAATTACTATGCAATTGCTTTTGCGCTTCTCCCTTTTGCCAACTCCTGGTATCCAAACCCTCCGATGAATAGGCGTGCCTGCAGATGGAAGTCGTTTATTTGTCCTCACAGCAGGCTGCACACATTATAAACAACGCGGAAAATCTCTCCGCTTTGCGAGCATCGACGTCAGCCCCTGCACCACGGGGGCTGGTGGCCTCCGAACCCTCGTCACTGAAAAGTCATTTCTTTGCCAGACAAAGCACCCATTGCACACATCGGCCTACCTTCCGGAACAGAAAACTGCGCAGTGAGTAAAGCAGACATATTTAAGCAAAAGTTGGATGGGTTTTATAAATTGGTGTGTATCCTCTACGGCTTATTATGCCTTTTTTAATAAAGCCTTCTCTGTAGAAGGGAATTTGTGCAGTTGAGTGGCCACCCACACACTCTTTGCCGCATCCCAATTGATGGTCAACATTAGGCGTGTGCTTTGTGAGTGGGTTTTTAATGATCACAATGCCAAATCGTGTGGAAAATTATGCTGCTTGAATGTTGGCTTTCAGAGAGGCGAGGCGAGGCGAGGCGAGGAGACGAGTCGAACCGCCCGGCTGAGGCGTCAACGTCCTGCAACCCGGCGAGAGAGCACCCGTGTCCACACCTCCCCCTCCCCGCGCCCCCACCTAACCTTGTCGAAGTGGAATCAGCCTGACTGTTCCAAGAGTATGAGGAGGTCTGGGGAAGAGGAAGGCCACTAGCCTTATCCTACATAAGTGCCCAATAATTATACCTTCGTGCGGTTACGCTCAATTTTTCAACACTTTGCCGGTTCGCAGGTAGGAATCAAGTTATGGTGAGATATTCTGCATTTTCTTTTCTGATTAAACTAATACACAATTTGTAATTCTTATAATAGACCTGCACAGAAGCTAGTTGCATTCGCATTTTCTGTATTTAGTCTGTGATTTGTGCGGCCATATAAAGCGTGTCAATATGCCTGTCGTGTAAGCGCTGCCCCACTGTTTGCCTAAGTCCATATTCAAGACGGTGACAACATTTGCAATTTGTTTTACTACTTATTGGGGCGAAGCGCCAACAGGTTCGGTTTTGGCCAGAGGACATTGTGGGGCAGCGATGGACGTCGTGCGCGTGCGACGAAGACTCCACCGCAGATGCTTTCATTGCAAGGGTGATGCGGTGGCTGAGGCGCGCGCTCGTGAGCCTACTACGTGGTTTGTACAGACTGTCGGCAGCATCAGTTAACCGTGGCGGATCCTCCCTAACCTACACGCACTCGAATGGAGGAAAGAAGAGCGTAATAGTGAAATGCTTGAGGAACTAACAAACTCGCTTTTCGGAGAGTGTAAGTACCTGTGGCGAAATTCCTTTTTCCTCAATTTTGTGCAAACCCGCACTCCTTGACGAGTTAACTGGCAACGAAGTTGATGGCAAAGAAGATGGATGTGTTGACTGCCCTTTCATGGAGTCCTTCACTTCCTTTTCCCTCCATGGCTTCAATATAGCCACTAGAGAATACCAAGTGTTGTCTTTTACACTGACGTAGCTAGTGGTAGACTATGGAAGGTATGCCTCCGGGTCCTCGCAATAAAGTGGATGCATTACTTTTCAATTAGGTAAATTTTTAAGGTAGAAGACCACCACCTAGCTGGTTTGCTTAATTGTACATTTCCTTTTGCGCAGGCAATGCATAAATGAGGAGCTAATTAGAACTGCATCCAATGCACGAGGCGGTACACAATTTGGCGCGTCACTTAGGGCGTGGGATGTCTCAAACAATGCATCTTGGATCGTACATTGAGCTGTCCACTTCGCTTATAGCCCTTGAGATCGCACAATGGCAAGGTTAGCAAACCATACCACCCTCCGCCGGCGTATTTGGAGCGGGCTTTGGTCATGTGCATTGTCATAGACGGACAGTGTTGAGGTGATGGGATTTGTCTGGCGAGAATTGACAAGCAATTCGTGATAAATGTGAGCAGGTAGTCAAAACTCCACTCCACTGCTGAGCAGAATTGTGTGCCAAAATGCAACACGTTTTCTTCATCTACGCCTGTCACTGCTGTTACAGCCAAGTGAGCAAGTTATTTGCTCGTGACAATGGCGGAAGTGTTAGAGTGCATGTGTAAATCGCCATTAAATCCTTCTCTTTCTTGCATAATCTTAAGTCAGTTAATAAAAACACGCCGTTTTCTTTTATCAAGGGCATTGGAACCTCACTTTGTTTTCATTTAAGATGACTGGAGTGAACAACCATGTTCAGCCATGCAAACGGCTCGTTATAAGGTGATAAATTTTCGCTTCTGTGATGCACCTCATTGGGTCGCATTTTGACGTGTCAGTGCAAATCCTGTCGAGTAGTATCAAATCGGCGGTTGTTCACCACTTCTGACTTACTCAACTGTTGACTTCACACCGATACAAGGATGCAGTCAGCGAACAGAAGTATTGGGCCTTCAAACCCTTTCTGTGTGGATCTGCCTGGTTTGCAGCTCGCTGGCTCCCCCACATCGTTGCCATCTGCTTGAACACTCGTAGTAGTCATGGGTAAGTCGAGCACTGACTGCTCGAAGACGGCAATTGTGGTAGGACAGACAGTAGCCCCAGAGACTGGGTCTGTGAACCGCCTAATAATGTCTTGCGCATTCATCACCCGGGAGCATTGTGGTCAGTATTCGCATGTCAGATAGCCTATACGCACCTACCGCTTGAAGCACCATGCAATCCATTGGAACTACCGTAGTGTGTCCTGAATCTGCTTGAATGGGTGACGTTGCCAAAGCATGAATCTAAACGAATATCTAAAAGATTTTGGCAGACGTTTGCACTATGTAGACAAAAACGCAGTAGCAAATTGTAAGATCTGATTTAGAAGGCAGTAGTTCTCCTTAGACATTTGCAGTTGTATGTAGGGGTGGTAACGATTCCTTGCTAACCTCGTTTATTTGCTCTCCTACCCAATTACTAGGCGGTGATTTTCGAACGACAAGCGCTCAAACAGATTAACATTACATGCCACCATATTTGTCTGTTTAATAATATTTGCAAGAGGATTGGGCTACTGCAACTAGAGGTGATGGAGAGACAAGCGAGACAGACGTAGATGGCATTGGTATAAACTGAGCATTCCCTGCGGAGAGAACCGGCTACATCGGAATGAAGGAGTTCTCTTTCTATATGAACATGCGGTATAGTCGGCAGTGGCGCAATATCAGTCAGAAGCCCAGTGTGTCTTCACTAAACTCCAGAGATCGTCAGTGTCCATCAGCGATAACTTCGCATTCACTACTCGAGGGCAAATCAACATGCAGCATTATTTCTAATTTAATCTAATTTAAGTGACCTTCCTGCTCCATTT